GCAAAAGCCCTGAGGCAGGAGAGTGTGGCCCCTTTTGGAAGAGAATGGCCGTCTTTAGGTTGATGAGCAGAAATCAAAGATGGTGGGTTAAGTCGGGGCTGGATAGGGCCAAGGAGGGGCCAAAACCGTGCTACAAGCAGCAGACAGGAAACTGAGGCCCCAGGGAATTGAGTGACTCCTCCCAGGCCTGGTGTTTGTTGATCTAGAGATCACGGAGCCCCTACCTGCCCTGGAACTACTCATGGCTTACAGGAGAGGAGAAAGTCCCTGTCTTCAGAAGCCTGTGGCTGGCCAATTCACCCCAGGCCTCAGCATTCTCCTCTGTCAAACGGGGCGCTGCTCCCACGTTCTCCTGGGACTCCCTGCCATGCTTTGGGATTGGAGTCCCAGTTTCCCGCCAGCTCAGCCTCCTCCCTGTTTCTGTCCCTCCCTTCTGGAGGGTGGGGACACTGAGCGACAGTGGGACACAGCTTCTCAGCTGGCCTTGCCCTCGGCTGCAAAAACACAGGCTCTGGAAACCTCCACCCCACCCCCAGTGTCACGCTTCGTGGCTGTCCCCTCCCTACTTCTTCGTTCCAGGGCAGGGTGTGGGAGCACTTTGGGGAGCAGGGCTGAGGAAGGAGGAGGTGGGGGCACGGACTTAAAGACAGCACCTTGTTTTCGGGCCCTGGGAGAAGGGGACACTGGGCCCTGCTTCCTCGGCAGCCCGCCGGCAGGAGGGGGTTTGGAATCCTGGCCCAGCCTCCCACTGCGGCCTCCTGTCCCCCGTGGCTGTCTGCCCAGAACAGGCCGGGCCCTTACAACGGGGCTTTGTGTGCCAGAGACGAAGAGCAAACGCCCTGGCCCCACCTGGTGGAGCCCGCGGCTGCCTTGCCCTCCCGTCATGGCCTCGGCAGGGAAGGTGCCGTTTCCAGGAGGTGACACAGATCTAGAGACGGCCAGGTCTGCCTCTGGGTTGGGGGGCAGATGCATGCTGGGCAGGTGGTCCGCTGGCCGCGGTGCCGCTGCCATCCTGGGCACCACAGGAAGTGATGAACGGAAAACTACGGTGACTCTTGTCACGACACGAGGGGCCGGACCCCGGCCCTCCTGCAGGACTGGATGCTACACAGCCCGCAAGCATGCGTGGAGTCTGTGTGCCAAGCCGTGTGGGAGGCCCGGCATGAATCAGACATTGTCCCTGACATTTAGGAGATAAGACGAGCGTGCAAATTGCCAGAAAACAAGGGACGGGAGACCAAGGTCACAGAGCGGTGCCAGCGGGGTGTGGGAGGGCACCTCTGCCTCCCCGCCCCTCTGTGAGGGCTGCCCAGAGGCTGCAAGCTGAGAAAGTGGCGTGAGCACTAAGTATTTCCTGATTATAAAAGAAGCACCTGCCATGCTGGGGGTGAAACCCCCACCTCCTCTTGCCTGACCGTCCCATCACCCCCTCTCTCCCAGGGGGAATTACTTAGCTCCCTGTTATTTTGTTTGTTTCTACCGAAGGCCCCAGGAGAGTAGGGTGGGGCCGTCTTATTTTTATCTTTAATTATGTTACAAATTTAATTAAATTTATTCATTCATTCATTTCTTTTTCAGAGACCCAGTCTTGCTCTGTTGCCCAGGCTGGAGCGCAATGGTGCAACCCTAGCTCCCTGCAGCCTCAAACTCCTGGGCTCAAGCGATCCTTCTGTCTCAGCCTCCCAAGTAGCTGGGACTACAGGCGTGCATCGCCATGCCCAGCTGATTTTTAGTTTTATTTTCTAGAGAAAGGGCTTCGTTATGTTGCCCAGGCCAGGAGCAGTGCCGTCTTGTACCTCACTGTGTCCTCATTGCCTAGTACATAACAGGTGCTCGATACACATTTGTTAAATAATGAGAGACTAGGATACACACATACGATATTTTATGGCATCAGGATCATACTGCGGATATGGTTGTATATGCTGTCCTCCCCCCCCCCGCTTCTTAGTATTTTCCTGTCATTAAATCTTTGAGAAGATTTTTAAGAGCCGTGTAGTATTCCGTTATAGGGACATTACGTTGATGTCTGTGCTGTATTCCACTCCCACTCTCATCATCTCGGCTAACTCTATCAGAAGGACTTCGACACGTAAATGGGGGGAAAGGAACATAAAGCCTTTCTTGATGGAAGGAACGGATCGAGCAAGGGACCGCGCAGATAAGTGTGGTGAGTTGGGGGATGTAAATCTTTTTTAACATTTTATTTGAAACACTGTATTTATTTTTTTGTAGAGCGAGCATCTTGCTGTGTTGCCCAGGCTGGTCTTGAACTCCTGTCCTCAAGCAATCCTCTTGCCTTGGCCTCCCAAAACACTGGGATTACAGGTGTGAGACATGCGCCCTGCTGAGAGAAGTCTTAAAGATGCTGCATTCACCAGCAGTGTCTAGACAGCCGGCTTTTGGAATTCCTGTGCCTAGTGGTGTGTTGGTAAACACATCTAAAAAAGGACATTGAGCCAGGCTCGGTGGCTCAGCCTGTAATCCCGCACCTTTGGGAGGCTGAGGTGAGTGACTGAGGTGAGTGCCTGAGCCCGTGGGTTCGCGACCCGCCTGGCCAACTTGGCAAGACCTCATCTCTACAATAAATCAAAAAATTAGCCAGGTGTGGTAGTGCGCGCCTATAGTTCTAGCTACTTGGAAGGCTGAGGCTGAAGGATCGCTGGAGCCCAGCAGGTTGAGGCTGCGGTGGCCGGGAGCGGCCATGGCACTCCAGTCTGGGCGACTGAGTGAGACTCCAACTCAAAAAAAATAATAATAAAAATAAATAAATAAATAAATAAGGACATGGAAGCCAGGCTCAGTGGCTCAGCCTGTAATCCCGTGCCTTTGGGAGGCTGAGGTGAGTGGATTGCCTGAGCCTACGGTTCGAGATCCGCCTGGGCAATTTGGCGAGACCTCATGTCTACAATAAATTTTTTAAAAAATGAGCCGGGTGTGGTAGTGCGCGCCTGTAGTTCCAGCTACTTGGAAGGCTGAGGTGGAAGGATCGCCGGAGCCCAGCAGGTGAGGCTGCGGTGGCCGGGAGTGGTCACTGCACTCCAGTTTGGGCGACAGAGTGAGACTCCAACTCAAAAAATAAATAAATAAAATAAAAATAAAAATAAAAAAGGACAATGGAGCTTTGCAAATTTCCACGTGTAAGTTCCATTCTAGTCAGTTTCACGTTTCCAGCGGTGATACTCCTAACCTTGGAGTTGGAGAGGTGTGTACAGAGTAGGCTCTTGTGAGCTGGCTCTGGCATCCCCAGCCCATCCCCACTCTGGGATGGAAGCTCTGTCTACTCCGAGTCTGTGAGCCCTACCTGGTCCCCAGACCCAGCATCTCAGGCAAAGGGGGTACTCAGCCAGTCCTGGGCGGAAGGGCCCAGTGGTGCGGCAAGAGCCCTGATCTTGGACTCTATCAGATGTTGCAGCCTGGATGGAAAGCCCCAGATTTCTCCAGCTCAGCAATCCAGAACTACTGGGGCTGCTGAAGTGTGGCGCTGCACCCAAGCCTGGAATTTGAGACTAGGCCTGTGCCCCACCCTGGCTCTGCCCTCAGGGCCCAGCCTCAGAGCAAAGCCACCAAATGGGGCTCCGTGTCTGGCACAGGGGTGGGCTCAGGGGTCCCACCATGGCAATCCACTTATGGAGTGCTTGCTGTATGCCAGGCTGTGCTGCATGTCTGGCTTTTTTTTCCCCGGCCTCATCATGTGAGGTGGGTGCTATGATTACCCCAAGCTTACAGGTGAGGAAACTGGGGCACTGAGAGGGTAACCCACTTGCCCAAGAACACCTGGCTCGCAAGTGTACGTGCAGGGTTCAATCCCAGATCAGACTGATTCTAAAGCGTCTGCTTTTAAGCCCTGAGCTCAGCATTGTCCTCTACTTAAGGTGTGTGTGTGTATTTTGTTTTATTGTAACAAAGCAACTTGTACACTTTCAACGTTGAAAACTGAGCATCATCTTTCCTTTCCAGTGAAACAAAAAGAAAATTTAAAAATAAACAGGAACAAAATTACAATAGAGAATGTCAATTCCCAATAAGATCCTACAGGTTCTGCTGATTCTCCCATCGAGTGGGAGGGCTCAAGTCATCAATCATTAGGAGAGAATTTTTTTTTAAAGTGTCATCTTAAACTGCAAGGATGTCCATTAAACATCACAATTAAACATGCCAAAGGAGAAGCCATGTTGTCAAAATGCCCACTTAACCCACCCAAACATCTCAAATCCACCCTTTGCTGACTTTCTATAACCCCATTTTTTAAAGTTTTTTTTTCTTTTTTTAAACAAGAGAAAGTAGACAGATCCATGTTGGTAAATGCTAACTGTCCATATTCACATAGAGACACAGTGTACTCTCTGAGCCCAATATACAGAGAAAGGAGGAAAAAAGCTAGAATTCTATGTACTACTACACAGGGACCCAGCACCCTCCAGCTTCCAGCAGAGTGAAGGGAGCATGTTTTTCTTTTTCCCCACAGAGCTCGGTGGTGTTGATTCCATACAGTTTTTGTTGAGACAGGAAGGGGCAAAAATGAATCTGGAACAGAAAGGAGTAGAGACTCTTTTCCCATTGTATTCTGCTCAAGGTATTTCCCCCCAAAATAAGTTGAGAACCATGGTGAAGAGAAAAGAGACCTCTAGAACGGGGCGACTGAGCACAAGAGGAACAAATAAAAATTAAAAAAAGACTGCAACTTTCTCCCAGGGACTGGAGAAAATTTTTAAAAAGGAAAGCCGGGCTCGGTGGCTCAGCCTGTAATCCCGTGCCTTTGGGAGGCTGAGGTGAGTGGATTGCCTGAGCCCGCGGGTTTGAAACCTGCCTGGGCAGTGAGATCTCATCAAAAAATCAGCCGGGCGTGGTTGCGCACGTCTGTAGTTCCAGCTACTTGGAAGGCTGAGGCGGAAGGATCGCTGGAGCCCAGCAGGTCGATGCTGCGGTGGCCGGGAGCGGCCACTGCACCCCAGTCTGGGCAACAGAGTGAGACTCCGACTCAAAAAAAAAAAAAAAAAAAGGAAGGTTGGAATCCATCAGTGTTCTATTAGTCATCTTCTCCTTCATCCTCCTCTCCTTCCTTCCCTTCATCATCCTCTTCACCTTCTCCTTCTTCATCATCCATATCAGGAACCAAGTAGTGCCGCAATGGATTGGGCCAAAAGCCATCTCCTAACTCGTCTGCACCTGCGTCAGAACGGTCAGTGAACCAGGTAAAGACGCTCTCTGGCTCTTCATGCTTGCCTCTTCCTGCTGGCTTTATTCTGTGTTTGGCTTGAACGTTTCGTCAAATCCTTTCCAGGTTTCCGTTTGATTTCAGTGGACTTGGAAGAAGGATCACCACTCTCATTCAGATGACATTCTTTGGAGAGAAGCTCATTTTCAAAATAAGGATTTTTATCAAAATAAAAATCTATTCTGTAACCTGATTTGATATCTTCAAGTTCTGTCACTTCAGCTCTGGTCAGATAACGCAGTGCCTCCTCGTCCTCCTCCCCAAGCAGTGCAGACACTTGTGGATGGTTGACAAATGTTGTCACCCAGAAGTCTGGGATTTTGGCGATCAGTTCTGACCTCTTCTGAAAAAAATGGTTGGCGGAGTTTGTTATATTTCTGTTCTACTTTCAAAACCTCCTCACTGGCTTGCGTGTTAAGTCTGTCTATTTCATTCTGTACTTCATCAGTATGTTCAATTGCTTCTTGCTGCTCTTTTTCTCCTTTTTTTTTGGCAGGCCTGCAGAGGCCCAAGTCTCTGGACACGAAGAAGCAAGCACCCTTGATCTCCTCTTCGGAGGCTGGTGCAGAGACTGGCATTTAGGGGCCATGCTGTGAGAACCAGCTACTTAAGGTTTTAATGAAGCACCTACTGTGTGTATCCCGTGGAGGCTAGGCTATATAGGGAGTTGGCAAGAAAATCATCATGCGTTTGCCTTTAAGGAGCTTGGGTGTGGGGGGGGCATTTCTCCAGCACCTACTATGTGCTGGGAACCCTGCCAGGTGCCTTCCACTATGTTGTCATGATCAGTTCTCACATTACCTCCTCCTCTCCTGCCTGGGTGGCCCTCAGTAGGTCACACACCCTCTCTGGGTTGCCTTTCCCTCTTTCCGTGGCCCCTTTGGTGCCCTCACCACCTTTTTTGGGAAACAGGGCCTTACTCTGTTGCCCAGGCTGGAGTGCAGTGGTGCAGTTATAGCTCACTGTCGCCTCGAGCACCTGTGCATAAGCAATCCTCCTGGAAAGAGGGTCCTCCTGCCTCAGCCTCCCGTGTAACTTGGGAATATAGGTGTGTACCACTGCTCTTGGCTGTTTTTCTGTTTTTTTAAATAAAGACGCGTTCTTGCTATGTTGTTGCCCAGGCAGGTCTTGAACTTCTGGCCTCAAGCGATCCTCTTGCCTTGGCTTCCCAGAGTGCTGGGGTTACAGATGTGAGCCACTGCACCCGGCTGTTTGGTCCCTTGACAGGTACCGTCCTGGGAGACCTCCAACCCCTGGTAGTTTCAGGTCAAAGCTTCTCAGAACAACAGGAAGTGGCCAGGACATGTGGAAAGTTGGGTGAGTGTGGCCACTGCCCCAGGTGAATTATGGGGTCATGCGCCGGATATTGGACAGATGACAGGCTCCCTGGAGGCTGAGCTGGCCAGGTCTACAGCTTTGGTGGTTCCCCCTGGGGACCTGGGGCGGAGTGTTGGAGAATGCGACTTCCTGCCTAACTCTGAGTGTTGGGTCAAGGTGGCGGCTGGTAACCTTGCTGGCTCCAGGACTAGGCCCCTCATGTTCCATCAGAGGTCTCAGGGGTCTGGAGGTCTGGGGTCTCTGCGGCCTCCCAGAAGAAAAAATCTCAACCGAAGCTCCTGCCCTGTGTGTGTGTGTGTGTGTGTGTGTGTGTGTGTGTGTGTGTGTATGTGTGTGTCGGGGGGAGTAGGGAAGGGGGCCCAGGACATCTGTCTTGAAGCTTCAGTCACCTAACAAGTGCTAATTCTCCTTAGATTGTATACTTACTTTGGGGACATTTCAGGGTCACTAATAAAGCTCACAGAGGGGGACAGGGGGTAGGGAGGGGATTTTACTTTCTCGAAGCTACCACTGTTCCCCTCTAACCCTGGATCACCCCTCATACCTGCTGAGGACGTGAACAATTCCAAGCCTTGGGGCCCGTTCTGCTGAACCCATTTTCTAGATGGGGTTAACAAAGGCCCCACCTCTAGGGGCTCAGAAGACTCTCCAGGTAGCCACCGTGGGGAAGAGAAATCCTGGGCTCTGAGTTCCTCCTCAGCCTAGCTGGCTGCAGGGTGGGGAGTCCAGGAGGGAGACTGGGAAGCAGACCATCCATTGGGTGGCTCCTGGCTGGGGGCAGGGCGCTCCTGGTTCCCCCGGTCTGGGTGTGGCGCCCACACCCGTTTGCAGGGGCATTCCCATCAGTGCCCAGCCCTGAGCTGACCCAAGTGATTCAGGCTCAGGGCCAGCCCTCCTAAGAGCTCTCATGCAGGTAAACAACGAGCTCAAAGGGAGAAATAAGTGTGTGTATCTCCCGTGGGACAGGCCCCTCCTGTCACATTATCTCATTTAAAATGTGAAAAATTAGTTTAAAAAAAAATCAGCCAGGGCCAGACTCAGTGGCTCAGCCTGTAATCTCAGCACTTTGGGAGGCCAGGGCGAATGGATTGTCTGAGTCCAAGGGTTCGAGATCAGCCTAGGCAACTTGGCGAGATCTCATCTCTACAATAAATAAAAAATTAGCCAGGCATGGTAGCGTATGCCTGTGGTTCCGGCTACTTGGAAGGCTAAGGTAGAAGGATCGCCGGAGCCCAGCAGGTCGACGCTGGGGTGGACATGAGCACGCCACTGCACTCCAGCCTGGGTGATGGAGTGAGACTCCAACTTAAAAAAAAAAAAAAAAA